TCCAATAAATTGGATTCGTCCTCTAATTTGTCACCTTTATACATAGGGCGCACTATAAGTTTCCGGAACTGGCCACTTACATAAACAATATTTAAAAAGTAATTAGAACATTTGAAAATGGAACTCTGGCTGTAGAATACAGTTTGTTTCATCTGAGTGTCACTTGTTTTTACATTGTGGCGTCATTTCAGAAATTGGTAGTCTACATCACCACGGATTTAACTCGTGAAAATTTTCGTAGTATGATTTTCTACGATTTTAAGTGTAATGTAACAGCTCAGCGGAGCTTCGTTCGGCTGCAAACTGCTTTTGGCGATAAAGCACCATGCAGGGCGACTATTTATAGCTGGTTTGCAGAATTAATAATAAAATAAATAAATTAATAAATAAATTAAAACGCGGTCGGTGTGAATGGTCGCCCGTCCACTGCCGTGAACAACAAAGAAGTTGATGCCGTGCGCTGTATGATCAAAACTGACAGGCATGTGACATACCATGAGATTCAGGCATCTTTATAGGCATATATATTATAGGCATAAGTCAAATACAATCAATACTGCACAAACATTTGGGTGTGAAAAAGCTGTGCTCTCTGTAGATCCCACACAATTTGACTGAGGCTCAAAAAACGGATCGCGTCACTTGGTGCCATAGATTTAGTATATCCATAGATTGGCCCTGAAATATTGGAGACGAGACCAAAACAAAAATGCATCTGTGTGCGTATAATGTGCATGTGTGCAAGATGAATAGTGTTGCACTGATCGCCATTCACTGATTTAATTTTAATATCGATTAACATATTACACCGGATTCTAACAGCAAATATAGGTTTATTCGCACAATAGTGAGATTTAAGGACAGTTTCTGCATTTTTTTCAAAACTTTAGGCTCAGTAGTTTCGAAGATAAAGGGGAGAATGATCAATTTTCGTCTATTTTCTTAAACAATTTAAAAATATTATAAATATATACTTGAGAACCAGAACGTAACTTTACTCTTTGCTTGCCTCTAAAGGAAAAGCATTTATCCTCAAAGTGTTTGCTGCATATTTTTGAAAATTTTTTGGGAACCCAGTCTTTAGCATTATAAGCCATTTCTGTCGTACTTCAATGTTTTGAGAAAATTTGAATTAACAACAATAATTAACATAAAAAAATGGGCGCCTCAACTACGCTATTAAAATAAATTTTCGTTTTAATGTAGACAAAAAATAATGGACTAATGCAATATTAATTAAATATAAAGTACTAAAACCAGAAATTTCTGATTCGATAATATTAAGTATGAAGATGATTTCGGCTGTATGCAAGCCACGCCTTTGCCTTTCTTTTTTTCAGTTAATGACATCTCGATAACATATTACCGATTGCGTCAATCTCTATGAAAGTGGGGTTATGAATTTCAGAAATTCACGTATTTGATATATTTTTTTCATTGAATTCGTATACATTTGTGTTATTACTGCATTTGAATGGTATAAGTTTACGGATATATTTATGTAAAAAACTTTTGTGGTAGTGCTTTTAGACAGCTAAAAATTTAAATAGTACTTAAATGTGAAATGTACAATTCTGCGAGTTTTCCTATTTAAATGAGTTACATCCGGGCACTGAACATGTTACCATGACTAATAAAAGTCCGTTTAACACTATTTCACATTTTAAAACCAATTATTTTTCAAAAATAAACGAAATTTGTTTCGTTGTCAGCTGACCCTAGGTTCATTCAGGCTCATAGCGTATAATGAAGTGGTCTCGTCTACCCATCTCGCTCTAACATACGTGTATACTAACGCTCTTTCACTTGCATTGCCAATCTATGGGTACCTATATACTAAATCTATGCTTGGTGCAATGCCATGCTTACCAAATTCAACGAAGGGGCGTCAAATTTGGTGTGGGACATAGTAACAGGTGACGAAACATGAATTTATAGTTACAATCCCAAAACAAAGCAGCAATCGAGCGTATGGGTCTTTCGAGACAAGCCGAAATCTTATTCTAAGCCGAAACCAATCAAAGTGGCGCAAAGTCTCTCTCTAAGCGGATGATTGCTTCTTTTTTTAATAAAACTGCACACGGGGCAACTATTGCGTTGAAAGAATCGTCGTAGCGTGATTAGTGATTGGTACACGACCATTTGTTCTAAAACCACTTTTATTTACTTGTTTCAAGACCATTTGTTAAAAATAACTGTAAACGCCGTATCATCTTGCACCACGGTAATGCCAGTTCTCACACGGCCAGCCAGACAAATGAATTTTTGAAGGTGAACAACGTTGACCTTATGAGCCGTCTCGCGTACAGTCCCGACCTGGCACCTTGTGACTTTCATTTATTTCCAAAAATTAAGAACCCGTTACGCGGTCAACGATTTTCATCACCTGAAGAGGCTGTCGAAGAGTATGAAAAACATGAAAAATATGTTTCAGAGATTGTCAAGGAGGAGTGGCAGAAGTGTTTTCAAAATTGGTTCATTCGTATGAAAAAGTGCACTAACGCTAACGGAGAATATTGTGAGAAACAATAAATTCATTTCTGACCATTTACAGTATTTTTTTTCTTATTCAGTCCGGAAACTTTAGTGCGCCTCACGTAGTAGGAATATTTTATTAAAATAGTAACCAAAAAAAAAATCGTCGAAATCGGTTCACAAATGTCACAGCATAACACACACAAAATACAGTTGACTTGAGAAACTCCTCCTTATTGTGAAGTCGGTTATAAAGAGTGACACTTTTAGTAGCAATAGAGCTCCTTGTGAAAGAGTTCATCCAGGGAAGTACTGCCACCTTACCTATTTCCATCACCAAATAGTAATGTGAGCATTACTGCGTTCCGGTTTTGAAAGGTAAGGGTGCTGGTGAAAGTACAGGCACATGGGACTTTTCAACCTATGTCTCAGGGTAATAGGCGGGGAGGCAGTGCAACTCAAATCTTTGCGATTTAAAGCTCGGAGTGGCACTACATCTGTTATGGACAGGCGTGTCGTTTACCATCAGGTGCACGACTTGTTCGTCCCATCACTGTATCATGAAAAAAAAACGCTTTTGAATCCGGAAATGGTTGTGCTAGTGATGTTTCACACATCAATGTTCGTTTTGTCTATAGATTACGGTAATTCCTTCACATCTCGCAACACGTCTGGGGTTCAAATCTAACTAAATAGACTTTGTTTAGAACTTTTGACTGATCATATTAATTTTTATTACCTCAGGGCCCATAAGAGTAAAGGCTAAGAAAATGTACAAAGCAATACAAGAGAACGCGCCAAGTTTCTTTGTATACGACATGTAGTACATGGAAGGGAGTGTCGTACCTAGAAGTCTCAGTTTGATGACTAATATACTTGTCACACTATTACAGTTTGCATATTTATAAATGTAGAAGTATTATTTGCAACAGCTTAGCAACAACGCACTAGTCCGAACACAATAGCAGCCATATTGATTGAATAAATTTAATTCACCTGCAATGCCAAGCCTTTAAGAAATCAAACAATCATTAACATGGACTGGAATTTGGGTTCCCCATTTGCACGGCAAGTTAAAATTTTAGGCAAGGCCAGTTCTTGGATTCCCCATTCAATGTTTTATTTCTTTTGGATATGAATTTATGGAAAAATTGCGCACCTAATGTTCATTTTACACTGCGCATTAGGTGCGCAATCTTTCCATAAACAGTATTTTAAAGAAATTAAACCAACAAGTCTAGGTAGATTTTGTACTGACTAATATCTTTATACAGAGCTTTTCGTCGTTAATAATACCCTTATATCATCAAATTTATGTACGTATTTCATTTTCCTGTGAATGTTTTGAAGGCTGACAAGTTAATATTATTTAGCTTTTATAAGCAATGTAATAAAACATCAACATATCTTCATCAACTACAATGAAAGCTGTAGATTATGAAAGTAAAATATTTATTAAAATTCAGAAGTGTAAACTTACAACTAAAAACAAAACGTGAGATTCAATGTCGCATCTTTAAGATTTCTAGTAAAAAACTACTTACATGAAAATATTATGTATCTTACTGTTATGTATATTAGTTAGTGTTATATATCTTACTCGATCTTATATAAATGCCATATGTATTCTAACATAAGACATCGACAGTCTTGCTTGTCTGCGTTTCTTTAAAACTCATAAATGTATGTGTTGCACAGTATATTGGTATTGTTTCATTTTGATGTAATATTGCACGACTCAGGACATTAAACTTACATATAATAAAATTATATTGGACGGAATAAGTCTGCTTAAAACTATTTATAGCTTGAGTGTAAATGGAAGCTACGGCAAATTTTACGCTTTTTCGTAACCTTTGTCATTAACAATCATCGGAAAAAGGTATTACACATATATATTTAGATATAGCTACAAGGACCAACATACGACGAGTTGTTAAAATCACCAAATATTAATTAATTACTTTTTCCGGATTCCGGGTGAAAGAAACTCCTCTCTTTATTCTATTGATGAAGATAAATAACCGTACATGGGTAAGGCCGTCAAAAATGGCACTTTTTCGTCATAAGGGGTCTTTTTAATAAAAAGTTTAAAATAATCTAGTGTGAAGATTTTCCTTTTAAAATATGACATTCCTGCTAGTGGTTCGAACTTATGGACATCTGTTATACTGTGTTTTTGGATTGAAATTAAAATTTTTTTGAGCGCGATCACAAGGATTCTCATGCAAAATTAAAATGTCCTAAATTCCCCACGTAAATAAAATTTTAAATTATTTTTTCTTAAGTTCTACTAGCAAATATCGCCGTTCCGTTATTATGCGGTATCTCACACTAGGGAGGGCGGGAGAGCGATCATTCTCGTTACCTTTTTATTTTACGTTTTAATAAAAGGTCCGTTAACTACTGCATTTTTTACATGGCAACATTAGAATTACTTTAAAATCCTACTTCTACTTTCTAGGTCAGTAGTTTTGTCCCACGATGCAGTAAAACCAATTCCTCAAATCCGGAATTCGAAACAGTAATTTATTAATATTTGGTGGTTTCAACAACTCTATGTCGCTCCTTGTAGTTGTTTCTATACATGTATCTATATATATGTGGAACACGTTTTTCCGATGATTAAATACAAAATTTCTCACGCATGTCTAAGGACAACGTTTGGACTCATCATTATGTAAATATATGATTGTTAACAACAATCCAAGCAAGCAAGAGTCCAAACTTAAGGAGCTGCTTAAGGATGATATTGTAGTGGCGTCATTTATTGTGTTGTTGTATCTATGAGTATAATGTTATGAAACCAACAACAATTTGTCCGAAAGTGAACGAGGACTGTGTTTTATATTTTCGTTTACTTAATTTAACTAAAATCGCAGCCATCATTGAGTTTGCAAGCCACTCTTGTTTAAATGGCCCTACTAAAATCATCCATGTCACTATACTATTGTAATGGACTATAACATATCAAGGACGGTTTTAAGTCGCGACAGATGATCATCAGAACAATAGAAATTTGTATAGGACCGTTCCAGATATTAGCAACGCCATTGACGCTGACACCGCGGATGAACCATTACATCTGTGATCCAGGAAACAGAAACACCATATTGTCTCATCATACCAGTCCCTGTAATAAAGAATTAAGTATTGTAAGAACCAGTTCCAGGAACTTAAACATAATAAATAATAAACAAAAACAATATCCTCACAATTGAGCATATATGAATATGCGTGTCCTTCTGCTTATTCAAAATTATTATCAATAATCTCGATTTTTTTAAACTGTTTCACCTCGACGCCAATTTAAAGTAAAAAAATATTGAAATTGAAAATTGAAAAATTGAAAAAATATTTAGGAATAGGATGTAACATTAAATAATAAAATTTAATTTAAAAAATTTGCCGTAAGAGCAAAGCCAGGCGATATGTTTAGTATTGCTATTTTTGCTTCTCTTTATCGATACTATAATATTTAACTTAATAAAAAATTATGTATGGATCCAGTTTATTATCAAAATAATGTGTCACCTTAGTGGCTGTTTCTAATTGTTTACATAATAGTTAAAAGTAAAGCTTTAGCCCCTAGTTTCTAAAAATAGCACTTCATTACACTTACGCCTATACACGAATGGTCTGGAGCATTACATGAAAATATTGTTTTCAAGTACAATTCAGATTATTAAAGTGGAAATATATTATTATAATAATACGATAATTTATTGCAACATGTTTTTAACAGTCTGAATATAAATACATTATGCCAGCATAACTCTGACAGCTAATATTTTGCAAAAGTTTATATTAATACCAGCCATCGCTTTATATGGGATTTTGGTATACCTTGTTAGATAAAAAATTATTATATATCACAGGAGTTATGACGAAATATGATGAATATAAACAGGTACACTGTATAATATAATATCTAAAACTTACCTCTTAATATCCAATTCCTTTATAGAGTTATTAACATAGTTAGCGAGGTTAACATCTCTAGCAGCTGGTCGACAGCCTTCGTAAGTATCTGCTGGTATGTCTGTACGGAATGCTCGAAAGTTGCTCAAACAATCACGTATCACTACTTCTTGAGCTGGTAAATATTCATAAATATTATGTTAATTTACAAAAATTTATGTGAAATACTTACAAAGCAATTTTAAGCTGCTCTTCACAAAAATTATCATGTTATGAATTGCATGGTCAAAAAGGCATCAAGCTCGATTCTTTGGACTTTGAACAGTTCCTACAGGTTTCAGTAGCGGCACTGAATTAAAGATTATGGCCCATCTAACTATAAAAACATACCCCTGGCATACAGAAATGACATATTTATAGAAAAATATGTATACCTACTTTATAATAATACACGCACACACTCATAAGCCCCACACTACGGAATCCCTGAATCGCGGGTGCCATGGACTCACATACTGCCCTCAGAACGAAAAAGAGCACAACTGCTGTATAAAGTACGTATAGTTGTGCCTTTTTTCGTTACGAGGGCAGCATAGATAACCACAAATTACACCCAAACTCACGAGAAAAATAAATGTAAGTCATACATATTTTTTTCCGGCCCGGGAATCGAACACGGGACTTCAACTTGGCAAACCAGCATGGTAACTGTTGGGCCACAGGGGCAGTTTCTTGCAATAGTATGTGTCGCTATATAGTGGGTACTGGGTGGGTACATTATGAAATAAAATAAAGGTTTTTTTATATAAAAAATGTACATTTGTGCAAAGTATTTGTGCGTTTTGTATTTACTGTTGAATCACCCAGACAACGATTTTGATCTTACATTCCTACTTCAACTGACCATGCAGGATTCGCACACGAGCGTGATGATAAATGTTTTAATAGAGTGGCTGAACTACAATAATCTAATTAGGGTTTTCATACAGTTAAAAATATGTTTCATACTAAATCTTTATTGCACTGTTACAAGTAAAACCGGTAAATTTTCAATATTTTCTCTACATTAAATAAAAAGTCGTTTATAACTGAATAATTTGATACTAATGTGGTATGCAAACATCCATTAACTGGGATTATGGGCAATTTACAATAAATCTTAAATGTTAAGCTTGACATGCTCTTGACACTGTACATAAAATTAATGCAAATATTACCTCCTTTTCTTTCAATTAGTTTTACACAGATGTCCTCATTCTCGGGGCAGGGATTGCCTAAGTACCCCATGCCTCGCCAGTTAAACTCTGTGCAGCCAGGAGTAGCTGCTGTACACTGGTAGCACCATAAAGCAAAACCTGAAATATACAAAAATGTTAAGTACAATGTATGTAAATGTTAAGTAGCCTCCACACATTTAAATCTAATGTAATATGTACAGACAACACCACATCAAGCTACACATTGTTCCATTGCTCTGGAGGTGATATTCAAAAAAATAGAGTGGTTTGCATTAATATTAGACATAACTGGTTGATGACTGTACCACCTCAGCCAACCGTGACCATAGGACCTGTAAAGGGCCTGAAATGTTGGTTTGTTTGAAAAAACAAATATACGCAATTCAAATCCGGAAAACTAGTTTTATTTCTTATGCATAACAATCGCGAAAACCTAAGAACTCGAAAAGTGTACATAATTATGAATACAAAGATCGAATACACAGAAATTTTTTTTTGTTCAACCTGGTGGGTAGCTAGCTAGGGTAACTAGCACCCACAACCACGCTGCACCATAGCATTGCTTTAACCATCAGAGCCACGGGTCAAATTCTCCTATGTGTCTTGTTATAGATCTTTGTACTGAATTTTGGTAGTCATAACCAAAGTAATGGAGTTATTCCAAAAAAAATCTGAATTAAGAAAAGTGTAATAGCTTGTGAGCTGTTGACTGTAAATGTGTATGTGTAAAAAATTTTGAAATAAAAATTATTAAATTTATTATTTATTATATTATTATGATTAATTACATTTATTATAATTAAAGTTTTAAAACCCCAATACAAAACTGTGTACTCCAAAATGTGAATAAATCTATAAGCTAGCAAGTTATAGAGACCAATTGAATGAGCACAAATACATTAGTTCAACTATAAGTAAAAATAGAAATGTTTTTTATTCCAAAAAGAAACAACACAGCACACATACATTTAACAATTACAAAACATCATTATAAAGTGAAAAAATCCAAATAATAAATAAAAAAGGGGAAAAACATAACAATTAATAATACACACAAACAGAAAGTAAATAACTATTATGATAAGCCATTAAGTGTGCATGATGTGTTGTTACAGAATCCGTAATCCACTTACTTTGGTGTCGTCTCACTGCATGTGAAACTGTGATAGTCTTTTTACAGATTGTCTTTGAAAGCACATAAAAGGAAAGCTTTGTATTTAATTTATTGTACAAATAGGGTGCGAGGAAGCAGAGGAAATGCTGAGAAAAACTGGTATTAACAGTTTGGGTTTGCCAGACATTTGTGACATTCCCAATGTTCCCATTCCATGTTTATCCATAATTGTATTGGGATCATATACAAGTAGGGAGTGCTTTTTGAGGATTGTGCTAAGTGCAAATAATTGTGTAATGGTAAGAACATCTCATAGATTGTAAAGGTCACTAGTTGGGTAACGATAAGGAAGACAAGCCCCCCACCTTCAAAATAGCAGATTGAGATAATGTCTTGTGTCCTAAGAAACAGGTAACCTTATTATTATTTCAGAATTCCATACATATTTTGTAATTATGAACTTTTTTCAGCATACATTATTCAGTAATGTACGGAAAAAAGTGTTCCATTATTTAATAAGTATTGGATGTCGGACTCAACTACATAAACTATTATATTAAAATTCACTTCTAATTCACCTATAATTATTAATACTAAACGAGAACATTTTCAATAATTGAACTAATTTATTGTAATGCAGTAACAAGGGAGGTTTATTTCCTGTTCAAACTAAGCTACCACACCTTTTTTGTGTCGGAACAGTAGATGTAAGCATAGAAGGTATTTTAAACATGAACTTACTTTCACCGAGAGTCGATAAAATCACAACCGAAATAATGTAGAGCCTCATTTCAGAGTAAAGATGTAACAGCGGTACAACACTGATTTAATTGAACACTGTTTACCGGTCAACAACCAACAACAAATAACAACAGCCAAACAGTCAGTCAAGTCAAGTCAAGTCAAGTCAATCTACGCTTAACCGCGCCCGTCCGTACCCGACCATTCTATAAGCACAGCACCGCACCCGCCCAAGTAAACCGTCAACATGACATTGACATAATGTCAATGGTCATATTTTTTTTATTAATAGTTTTGGCTTGGGTACAGGTCTTTTGAGCCATGTCTTGGTTTAATTATCGTTGTAGTTCTAAATTCTAATACTTTTCACTTTCTCTTATATCACTTAGTTCACTTATTTGGATTTATTAAACAGATCTTGTAAGCGGTGGGAGTCAATATTTATGTTTTACTTTCACATAGATCACATTATCTTCTATCACTTTGAATAATTTGAATTTATATTAGTGGAATTTTCAGGATAAAGTCTTTTCTAATTTGGTTTAAAATAAGGATTATAGTTCTAACTTTCTTCATCACTAGTTCTTTCTTCATTTTTCTTCATACCATACTTAAAATAAAAATAATCTTTGTAAACTCTGTACTCGTAACTTCAAAATCCCGCCATCTGTGTTCAATACATGGGCATGCCAAAAAAGTTTTGACGTTGGCTCCGCCCAAATTTGTGAAACA